TTTCGAAATTAAGCCAAAATTATATTGAATTATTGGATGATGATGAGTATTATGATATTACAATTGAAGTTGGAGAAGACCCGAACATAAAAATATTCCGTGCTCATGTGAATATTTTATGTTACCGTTCACCATATTTACGACGAACCTTGGTTAATAATGATAAAAAAAATGATGTTTTGTCTCACATCAAGTTACCGAATATCTCGCCAGCAACCTTTCAAATCATTTTAAAGTAAATTATCATTATTTTATTTTATTTTTATTGATTTATCTATTTTTAATTTTAACAATAAATTTTTAATGTTATAGGTATATTTATGGTGGGATACTTTCAATGAATGAGCAGGAGGACACTACAGATATTCTTAAAATCTTGGTTGCTGCAGATAAACTATTACTTCTTGAATTAGTTGATTATATACAAAAATATTTGATTGAAAATAAGACTAATTGGATGGAAAAACATTTTGAGCTAATTCATCGTACAAGTTTTCAATCAAACCAACTATTAGAACTACAAAAATTTTGTATGGATTTTATGGCCAAATTTCCTGAAAAAATATTCAATTCACTTGACTTTACTTCACTTCCAGAGAAATCTTTGGTTTCACTCGTTAAGAGAGATGACTTACAGATGCAAGAAGTTGAAGTTTGGGAACATGTACTAGATTGGGGTATCGCTCAAAATCCTACTTTTGTTTCAGATCCTGCAACTTGGTCTGACGATGATTTCAAAACAATGGAAAGTACTCTACAAAATTTTCTTCCATCAATTAGATTTTATAGTTTATCTTCCAAGGATTTCTTGAAATGTGTTCATCCGTATAAAAAATTATTAAAACCGCAATTTTATGAAGATTTATTGGAGTATTATCTGGATTTTGAAAAAGTGTCTAATGACACTATGTTAGCTCCTAGAAATTTTAAGATTGATTCAAAAATTGTTAACTTAAATATGATTTCTTTAATTTCAAAACGGATCGATAAAGTAGGTATTAATGATAAACTTTCTCAAAAAAGTGAATTGTATCTACCGTATGAATTCGAATTATTGTTAAGAGGAAGCCAAGATGGATTTACGCCTAAAGTATTTCATTCATTATGTGATTATAAATCCAAGACTGTTACATTTATTAAGGTAAAAGGAACTGAAGAAATTCTTGGTGGGTATAATCCTATTATATGGGAAACCTCAAAACCATGGGGTAATTGTAAAAGTTTTATATTTTCTTTTAAAATTAAAAATAGTTTTTCCCATGATGCAATATTCAGTAATGTAGCAATAGTAAATTATGCATTAAATTATGGAGTGAATTATGGACCAGCATTTGGTAAAGATCTTGTGTTGTATGCATCAAGTGAAGCTGTTAAGTATGATAACTCTTATTGTGACAAAAACTATTATGAAAAAATGATAAGGGATAACAATGTTAATTTTTTATTAGAAGATTATGAAGTATTTCAAATTTTTAACAAATAAATAATCTTATTATAGTTTAAATATTTATTTTTAAGAAAGTTTTATAATAATTCACTATCTAATTCTGTTAAAATATGCCTTTTAATCATAAACAATGTTTAAACTTATAACTGCGAGATCGTAACAAATTTATTATCATTTATTCGAATAACCAATACTTTTACACAATTATTGAACAATCCGTAACGTATTTTAATAGCATAAATATATTAAGATAGTATATACAGTTGATTATAATACTGAGGTTAACAATGCAACACCTATCATGAAGAAAAGCATACATGCCAACAAGCTTGTGCCATTTGCTTAACATTATATGTAAAAAGTATATTATTTTTCCTAGTGCATTTATGCAATAATTTTTTTTGCTTTCAAATAAATTGTTTCCGATTCTCTTAACCAAAATATGGAATAGACACTTATTTATCATCTTTGATTTCTTTTTTTTATTTAAATAGGTTTATTCATTTCTTTGCTTTTAGCATCGCTTCGGTAAACATAGGTAACTTTTCTTTTTGAAGGATTAAATTTATAATCCTTTAACAGAAACTAGGAAATTGCTTATTTTCAATAATAAGTATTCTCACTTTTTTACGCGCAAATATATATATATATATATATATATTTTAAAAATGGTGCAAGAGACAATGAAATTTGCTAGTGAATATGTTACAATATATTATAATGGATAGTATGTTTTTAATTAAATGATTTAATTGCTTTAATTAATTATTAAAGATGCCTTAAGTATCATTGTTTGTGGCATATTACCGACTGAGATGACTGAGATATTAAAAAGAAATTTTCAATAACATAGTTCTACCATCATTTATTCATTGTTTCTATAATTTACTTCAAATAGCAGCCAGGGTTTAGTCCTAGATTACCAAGCATTTTTTATTTTCAAATGGGTAGCCCTTGTATATATTAAGTAGATTGTAAGAGTCACGAGTTAACGAAATTCATTTGAGTTGCTTTTAAATTTTGCAAAAAATTTCTATCTTGACCACTTTTAAAATACTTTTTGATAAATATCGCTTTCGTACATTTTAAACAATATAAAAGGATGAAACTCGCGAATTTATACAATATGTAGATAAGCTTGCATACAATGAATTATCCTATCAAAAGAAAGTTTATAAATATCGTGAAATACAAATTGAATACTTTAAAAAGTTAACCATAATTATAATAATCTTTTAAAATTATGATATATAGGATTATGGTCATTGGGGATTATAATCATTCGGCATTATGGTCATTCGTGATTATGATCTCGCCTCTCCGGTTTTTTGATCTTTAGGACTTTTAAACGGCACGGCACCATACTTAACTGTTCCTTGTTTGTACGATTAAATAAATAAATTATTGTGTATTTCAATTTTAGATATAAATAAACAACATATGAATTTAATATTTTAATATTTATTGTGAATTGTGACTTTATTATGATAATCCCAGTTATATAAATAATGCTCCATATTTAATAAATTAAGTTCTATTCATCAAAACTTGAAAGACTTCATAATCCTCTATTGAGAAATCTTCTCCATCTCTTATGCTTTTTTCATATACATCTTTGCGGCAATAATTTTTATTATAATTTTCTTCATAAATGCTTTCTATACAAAGATCATTACAAAATGAAGGACCGCAATTAAAATAATGCAATACTGCATAATCTTTATCAATGACACGGCTTAAAATATGATCATTGAAATCCTTAGTCTTAAAAGAAAAGATGAAACTATTATTTGTATGACCAGTTTCATAATTTTCAGTTTTCTCCCATATCAAAGGATTATATCCTCCAAGAATTTCTTGCGTTCCTTTTACTTTGATGAATGTAACTGTATAAGGTATCATATCACATAATTCATGAAACTTTCTAGGAGAAAACCCATCTCGGCTACCCCTTAATAATAATTCAAATTTATATGGTAAATACAACTCTCTTACATAAGCAAATATGCTTTGAGTAACATTCTTGTCAATCCATCTAGAAATTCCAGAAACAATATTTGAATTAACGATTTTTGAATCTATTATTCCACCGATATTTCTTTGAGTAGGAAGCGAAATTTTAATAGTTGTACTATTAGGATCTAAGTAAGATCTTAATAATTCTTCATAAAGTTGGAGTTTCAAAAGTTTTTTATATGGATGGACTTTTTGAAAAAATTCTTCAGAGGACATACTAAAAAATCTAATTAAGGGTATACATTGTTGTAAAGTAGTTTCCATTCTTTTGAAATCATCATCTGACCAGGTCATAGGATCAGAATCGAGTGCGGTATTTTTGTTAAGACCCCAACTTAATACATGTTTCCAAATTTCAACTTCTTTCAATTGTAAATCATCCCTTTTAATGAGTGAAATAAAGGTATTTTCGGGAAGTGAAGCAAAATCAAGTGATTTAAAAACCATTTCTGGTGATTTGACCATGTAATTTGTACAAAATTGTTGAAGAACCGATAAAGAACTAGACTGTATGCTTATTCTGTAAGTGAGCTCAAAATTTTGTTCAATCCATTCAACTTTATTTTGAATAAAATATTTCTGTAAATATTCAACAAGATCTTGAAGATGAAGCTGATCAGCAGCGGACAATACTTTTAAAATGTCTGAAGTTTCATGTTCATGTAATAATATAACCCCACCATAAATGTATCTATATTATAAAAACATAAAATTTACAATTTAAAGACGACTTTTTAAAGCGCAAAAAGTAAATATAATGATTTTACAAACCACACTTACTTCAAAATGATTTGAAGGATTTCAGGTGAAATATTTGGTAATTTAACATGAGTTAAACATCCATCATTATTGTTATTATTGACAGACAAAGTTCGTCGTAAATATGGAGAACGGTAACATAAAATGACCCTGTGAGCACGAAATATTTTCACGTTTGGATCTTCTCCAGCTTCGATTATAACATCATAATATTCATCATCATCTAATATTTCGATATAATTTTGGCTTAATTTAGAAAAAAATTGGACAAACATTATTTTTTATTGAAGATAATTATTACATTGTTAACAATATATATTGTTTAAAAACTGACATTGGGGTGACGCAAGGGTGATGATATTATATGACCACGTGCTCGAGCTTTTTTGTCGGTGATCACTGATTAGTAAATTGAAACAACGATTTTGTATAAATAGATCGTAATTCAATCTAAAGAAAAACAGAGAAAATAACAAGTCGTAAAAGTTTCTCTCAAAGATTTAATTAGATTATTCTAGTTTGTGATGATAAGTCTAAAGAAAAGGCTTGTAGAATTCCTAATTAATCAAGTTGCTATTTTACCCTTTCAATCTTCTTCGTGCCTTCATAGATGTTTTGATGAGATAATAACTACACTAGCGAATCGTAATGTTTAAATATTATACATCGGAAGAAATAAATAAAAAGTAAAAAAAAAAAATGTTTGTTGACAAGAGAAAGCAAGGAAATTCGGGTCAACAACGTGGAAGTTTTTCTTCTGGATCATCATCAGGTTCTTCTACCAATGCCGAATATCCCAACTTGTATTATTACTATAATCTTCATCAAATTGCAATGCCGTAGGTGTTTTAAATCTACCTTCACCTTCTTGTCTTGGCCTAATATTGAAACAATTGTAACTCTATTTTTTTTTTTGTAACAAATTAACAATTATTATGATAATAACATAGTACCAAGAAATATTTACAGCAATGCTTTGAGGAGTTGCCTTAAGGAACATACGCAAAACCAGAATAAGTTGTTCCAAAGTCTATTGCAACAAGAATTCTAATACTGCATAAAGCCAATTTTAAAATATATATACATATATATATTAAAAATAAAACTTGTTTAAACTTTGGAATTTATTATGAATCAAAATTTCTAAAATGAATCGTAGACTTACCATTTTAAGGCCTATTATATGTCTATTTCTTAAATGAGGAGCACCGCGCAACAAATTTTCTAGATGTCATTGTCAAAAAGATAATCATGAAAAACAAGGGTGCCCCAAATTTCCTAATAAGAAACGCCAGCATATCTTGTAACTTATGCGTCATAAGATGTTACATGAACAATGATTTCAAATTATTTTTTTAAAAAAAATTTAATAATGATAATTTTTAAACTTTTTTTATTGTTATTTTTAAAAAAAAAATCATGTCGAAAAAAGGTAACTCCACTGCGATTATCAAGCAGAGAGAATCAAAGGAACTACAACGTTTAACGAAAAATGATGATATGCCATTATATACGTTAGAATGCTTCAGTTATGTTGAGTGGAAGTTAATAAGGTGGTTGGCTTCCTTAAAAAATGTTGAAAACCTTATTTATTTATTTATTGTAATTTGGAATTCTGTTTCATTACAAAGCAATGAACAAATTTTATTACACGAATTCAATAAAGAAACCAATAAAATGGTTGCGGCCGTAAATGAATTGACTAAATTAAAAGCACTCGATATTTCGCAAAGTAAAGTATTTAATAACAGTTTAAAAGAATACCAGAATTCTTTCTGCAAAGACAATCATGAATTGAGAAAGAAGTTAGCCGATAATGCTTGGGCGGAATTAGAAGATCAATATTTAAAATATTCACATGCTTTGAAGAACAACTACAACGTTTAACGAATGATCATAAAATGTATTTACGACAAACGATTTTTAATCGATTGAATTCTTTTCGATCAACTGCGATACAAATTCAAAATGCCTGGAAAAAAGAAGAAAGTATCTTAAAAGAACAAATTAAGACCTTGAAAGAAGAAAATAAGACCTTGAAAGAAGAAAATTTACAACAACAAGCGGTTCTTGACAATGTAATAAAAGTATCTTGTGATTATGATGATTCCAATAATACAGCAAAGTTAATTGCTGATATTGAAGAATTACAGGATATGCTTTCAGATTTTACAATGGTTCAGGGAAGTGATTTTAAAGTTAATATAGATGTAGCAACAAGCCTATTAAAGAAATATAATTGTCAAGAGGAATATCCAAGTACGGATGCAGATTTTATTTTAGGAGCGGTACTTCAACGTTGCACGATCGCAACAATCTTGGATGAGTTACAAAAACATTTACAAAATGCACGTTCTGACAACATTGATACTCTTGAAAGTGATATTGTAAATACCACCGAAAGATTAATTAAATATACCGAATTATTAAGAGATAAGCGTAAAGACAGTGATGATATTTCTAAATTTACGCCAATCAAAATTCGTCAATATGTATATTCAGCACTTGGCTGTCGCGGATTTTTGGATGATAATCCTTTAATTAAAATAACGGCAAATAAATTGTTGATTAAAATGAATAATTTTAGACAAGTGATGGGAAAAGAAACTAGCGATGAATTATATGACCTAGCTTTTTCAATTACTCGTGAAGTTATTAATATTTTTTGTTTTCGTTTAAAAACACAAGCTTCCGAACTGCAACATAAATTTTTCCAAGCTGGTCAAGCCATAGACGTTCGTCTTATGCGAGGAAGTTTCGGAAGTGATGAAGCTAAAAATTTGGAGGTGGAAATTTGTGCATTTCCTTGCATCGGTGTGTTCGATGGTGAACAGAAAGTATTTACGAGGGCTCAAGTTATTGCAAGAACAAAAAGAAGAAATAGTGATGAATTTATATGAAAAGCTTGATTATTGGAAATAAGTGAATTTGAATGCTTTTCATTTTTTTTTGCGAATTATAATATTATCTTTATATTATTCGACAAATTTTATTTATTTATTTACTACTTGTATTATTATAAATATCGTCACAAAATCTCTTCACGTGACGTGAAAAATAAATAAATTAAAAAAAATGACTACGAAAAATTTGATCTCGTAGAATTGTCTCTGAACATTTTTTATTCATCAAACGTTGAAAACTGGCAAATTCGAACAGGAATATTAAAATTAATAGAAAAAGTAAGCGAATCAGTTTTACGAAAAAGCTTTGTTTAAAAAGCCGTATAATTGGAATATTTAGCAAAAGGGCTATTCCTTGCTGTATTAAATGCAATTTTGTGAAATAGAAGCAGATGCTGTTATAAATTTATGGGAATTTATAAAATATCTCACCTTTGTTAATTTAAAAGATGATGCTATGATAATGTACAGACAGAAATATCGCCCTAATGGAACTTTTAAAGGAAATAATAAATGTCACCCAAGTTCCTTCAAAAAAAAAATTGTTTTGATTGATTTAAATTTATGTTTAAGTACTTAACTTTTTCAATATTATATAGGAGCAGCATTTCCAGTTTAATCACATGATCTTATGATTTACTATATTGATTTTAACTAACTTCTATTATTTTAGCATTTTTAAACTATTTAATAAATAAATTATAAAAAAAATTTTATTTTAATGTATTTATATTGAAATTGGTTAGATTTATAATAAAAAATACTAACCTTTAATTAGATTATATAACATAATTATATTTTTTGATTAGATACATAAAATATTAAATTTTTTTAAAATGTAAGAAAAAATGATACCTGAACTGGTAACGTTAGAATAAATAATAATTTTTAAAAGGTCACTTGAAAATCTGTTGAAAAAAATTAGATTGTGTGTTTGATTTTACACCATTATTGAACAATCCGTAACGTGTTTTTAATAGCAAATCGTAAATATATTAAGATAGTATATACAGTTGATTATAATACTGAAGTTAACAATTCATGAAGAAAAGCATACATGCCAACAAGATTGTGCCATTTTGCTTAACATTATATGTAAAAAGTTTATTATTTTTCCTAGTGCATTTATGCTAATTTTTCGCAATAATTTTTTTTTGCTTTTAAATAAATTGTTTCCTATTCTAACCAAAATATGGAATAGACAGACACTTGTTTATCATCTTAACTTCGTAGTCGATCAGGTGTATCTTTCTAAATGTTTTCTTTTTTTATTTTAATAGGTATATTCATTCCTTTGCTTTTAATATCGCTTCGGTAAACATAGGTAACTTTTTTCTTTTTGATTATGGATTATTTATAATCTTTTAACAGAACCAAGAAATTGCTTATTTTCAATAATGAGTATTCTCACTTTTTTACGCGCAAGTATATTTATTTATTTTTTTAAAAAAATGGTGCAAGAGACAACGAAATTTGCTGGATAAATTAAACTTATACAAACCACTTCCTATAATAATCATGAAACATATTAGGATAAAACCCATCCCGGCTATCCCTTAATAATAATATAGTAAATACAGTAAATACAACTCTCTTACATAAGCAAATATGCTTTGAATAATATTCTTGTTAATCCATCTAAAAATTACACAAACAATATTTGAATTAACTATTTTTGAATCTATAATTTAGCCGATATTTCTTTGAGTAGAAAGTGAAATGTTAATAGTTGTACTATTAGGATCTAAATAAGATCTTAATAATCCTTTATAAAGATTGAGTTTTAAAAGTTTTTTATATAGATGGACTTTTTGAAAAAAATCTTCAGATGACATTAAAAAATCTAATTAAGGCATACATTGTATACATTGTTGTAAAGTAGTTTCAAAATCATCATTGACCAGATCATAGGATCAGAATCTAATGTGATATTTTTTGTTAAGTTCACAATTTAATACATGCTTTCAAATTTCAACTTCTTTCAATTGTAAAACATCTATTTTAATGAGTAAAATAAAGATATTTTTGGGAAGTGAAGCAAATAAAGTGATTTAAAAACCAATTCTGAAGATTTGAACATATAATTTGTATAAAATTGTTGAAAAATTGATAAAGAACTAGACTGTATACTTATTCTGTACAATCCATTTAACTTTATTTTGAAAAAAAATATTTCTATAAATATTCAACTAGATCTTGAATATGAAGCTCATTAACAGTAACTAATACATATAGGACAAAAAGGGGATTCTGGAACAAAATTCCAAATAGTATTCAAAAAGATTTCTGCTCACTTACAAATCCATTATAGCTATATAAAATCAATTATCAAATTTAATCATCTAGCGCAATTTGACTTAAATCTAGATGATGTTATCAAACTTAGCTAAGAATTAGATTATTTAATACCAAGAATTACAATGTTTAATTTAACTATTATAGCCAGATTTTAATTCCAAATATTATATCAAAAAAAATTTACTATTCTGTTTACCTCTGGAGGGGCTATCAAAAATCAAGGAATGAAGTGACGCGATTTGAGTTAGACCTGACATTGCAAATCTAATATGAATAATAACTTTTATGTTATTCTGCTTATCTCTGGAGAAACTATTAAAAATCAAGGAACAAAGTGACGCAATTTGAGCTAGGCCTGATCATACAAGTCTAAAATGCATAGTAAAGTCAAAAAAAAATTCGCATAGCCAAGTCTATCCAAAAAAATCTAACTAAAAATCACATAGCAATGTTTATCCAAAAAAAATCTATCAAAAAGTTAATATCTATTCTGAGTTTTTTAAGGTCTTATTATGTAATCTGTTATAGTATTGAATCACATATTAACTTTAACATGTAGTGGATACCGCTCAGAAGATGAGCTAGTAGGCTTGCCATATATACTACATGATACACGTAACTTAGTTTTCCAATGCTCATGACACCCTTCTTCACGCATGCAGGACTTACTATAAGTCTTGTCAGTATTGTGCAAATATGGACAGGAATATTCTCCAATCATTTTGATATATAAGAAAATAATTAATTAAAGAGAAAATTTTATAAAGGTATTATAACTTATAAATAATTAATCTACACTAAGGTAAATAATTATTTAAAGAAAATGTTTGTAAAATACTATATATAAAACAGAATGGTAAAAGGTAATTGAATTTGTGACCGATGTGATGATGAGTTTGCTACACCCCAAAAACTTCGTCAACATATAAATAGAAAGTTTAAATGAAAGCTAAAACCAGTATCAAGCATAACTCCAATAGTTGATATCTAAGAAAAAGACTGCCAAAAGAAAACTACTTTTTTGTCTATAGAGGATTTGGCTAACTGGTTAGCGAAACCAGAAATAAAAAATAATTCAAGCATCATTAGTAAAAAATTTCAAAAATAGATGCAGAATGGTTTGATTTAATGAAGAATCAAACTAAAAGAAAGTCTCCTAATAAATTGCAAAAGAAAACTATAATATCTCATTAACCTAAAGAGAATCCTGAAGCTGAATCTGATCTGTCAACCTAATCATATAGAAAGGGAGAATCTAGCAATATTGAATGACAAGACATTCAAGAGGATATTTACTTTGAAGAATGTCCAGTTGAAATGGATCTAAAAAGATCACATAGAAATCAGTCTTTAATAAGCAAATGGATAAGCAAAGTTTCCCAACGTGAAAACAATCCCAAATATACTTTTATCAAATTAATAGCTAATCCAGAAAAATATAAAAAACTGCCATACATGCCTCAACTTATAGGACTAATTCATTTGAAAATAACAGAAGTTCTCCAAACAGAGCTTCGTAGAAATGACCAAATAAAATCAGCTATAGTAACGTTATGCCTGTATTCAATTATTAAAGAAAACCCAGATAGTACAAGTGATATATAATATATAGACTATCATCATAGAAGAGGAATGCAGCAATTCATTTAGAAGAAGATATAAAAGAATATATAACCAAAACTGTTGAGGAAATATATAAACAAATTGAGGATACATTTAAAAAAGGATTTGGATATATTCTCAAATGAATTCTTGAAATATCTATTAAAGTATATACTTTGAGACAAGCTTTAGGAGGATCTTATATTCCTACTCCAAAGAAGCTAGCCAATATAAAGTATAATATCAATCCAGATAATTATGTGATTATAGATTCAAAAACAAATAGACCTTCTGAAAACTTTCTTCAAGGTGCAGTAGGTATCTACTTTACTCATCAGGATGGATATACAAATCATCTAGAACGAATTTTTAGAGCTAATAAACTTAAAGATAGATGGAATTCTAATGCCTACTCCCATCTGCCCACGTATATTTAATAAGATTGAGGAAATAAATCCAAATATCTCTTTCAATGTCTGGGAATGAAATGAAGAAAAGCTACTACAAAACCAGTGATAGTTAGTAAAAACTTTAAAAGAAAACATAAAATTCAGCTATTAGCTCTCACAGATATTACTAAAACAGAAGAAGGTAAGTATAGGCAAAAGAATCATTTTCTCTAGATCAAGAATACTAATAGATTAATATATGGTGATAATACACATAAAGCCAAAAAATATCTATGTGATGGATATACTATAAGCTGGCCTTCTGAAAAGTCTTTAGAATATCATTTAGAATAGTATTCAGGAATACATGAAAATGCTTCTCAAAGAGTTGCAATGCTAGTGAAAGGTGTCAATGATTTCGATAAGTTTAAGAACTATAATCGAATAATTTATGCTTCATGTGTTATTATATCTGACTTTGAGACTGGTAACAAGAAGTGTAATGAAGCATATGGTAGAAGCATACGCAAGCTTGCTAAACAGAAGGCTAATAGTTTTTGCTACCTAGTCCACTGGATAGATACTAGAGATATATGGGTCCATGCCTATATAAAGAAGAAAATGCTACACAGGAATTACTTCAAAGAATTGATCAGGAGCTAGTTAAAATCAATGAGGTCTTAGCCATCAAACATGAGCGAATTAAGACCGAAGAAGACAAAAAAAATTTTGCAAAAACAGTTAACTATTAAATCTGTAAAGGTAAGTTTAATATAGATATAGATGAAATTATGCGTCTAGAGAACAAAATAACCAATCTTAAAGAAAAGCTTAAAAAGTTTAAAAAGGGTTCAGCTGAATATAATGGTATTAAAACAATCATTGATAAAATGAATAAAGCAATGGCTAGCGAAAAAGCTAAAGCCAATAAGGTCTGGAATCACTATCATATCACAGATAAGTTTCATGGATTAGCCTATAGGGATTGATATCTTAAACTCAAAACCAGGATTGGAAGATCCAATTTCAATTATTTTCCTCAACTTCTGAGATTATGACTCTCACTTAGTTTGTGAGTCTATTAGACGATCGGCTAATACTCTTCATATTTAAGTTATAGCTGAAACATTTATAAGTTTATAAAGGTAGATCAGCTTAAATATATCGATAGGATGTAGTTCATGAATAATAGCTTGGCCAGTCTTACAAAAAATTTGGTAATAACCACCTAATAATAAGCCAATATTTCAAAAAATTAAGTTATAAAGAAGAGCAATTAACCTTAGTATTTCGCAAGGAAGTTTATTCCTATGATTATATCGATTCTTATGATAGATTTCAGAAGACAGAACTTCCTCTATTAAAAAAATTCCATAGTACTCTTAAAGATAAGATTACTCAAGCAGATTACTAACATGCCCAAAAAGTATAGGAGGAATTCAGTTGGTGATTACAATTATATCTATTTTAAAACAGATGTACTTAGTTTTGTAAATGTCTGGACAGAGTTTCAAAAAATGTCTATGGAATACTATGAGCTTGATTTCAGTCACTATGTTTCTGCCCTATCACAATCCTGGGATGCTCAACTTAAAATGACAGAAGTTAGGATCAAACTTTTCATAAATACTACTATGTATGATTTCATAGAAAAGCAAAGTGAGGTGATATATCTATGGCCTGTCAACAATATTTTAAGGCTAATAATCCCAAGATGCAAGAAGTCTATGACCCATCTCAACCAACTATATAAATTTCATATGTGAATACAACCAATCTTTATGGTTATTCTATAAGCTAATACTTACCTATTAGAAATTATTAATGGAGAGCTAATTGGGAATATTTACTAAAGAATCCAGATAAGCAAAAAATGTATCTTGATAGAATTCTTCAGATTCTAGCAAATGTGTCTTGAGGATGTTATGTAGTAGTTAATTCCCATTTTCCATTAAAAACCCATGACTATTTGTCATATTTGCTTCTAGCAGTGAAAAATGTTGCTGTAGAAAAGAATTGGTTATATTCTTATAATGCTAAACTTGTAGAACAATTAGATGGTTAATGCTTCTTTGTCACAAAAAAATTAGTTTCCCATCTTGGATCACGAAAGAACTATGTCATTTATTATCAAGAGCTTCAATATTATGTAAAATTAGGTATGGTTATAGATGAAGTTTTAAAGATACTTACCTTCGACCAGACTAACTGACTTAAACCATATATATCTTTTAATACTAAGAAACATAATGAGGCTAAGTACATTCCTGAGTGACTTTTTCAAACTTATGAATGTATTAGTATCACAGATCGAATGCTGATAAATCAGATACCTTCCTAATTAGTCACTATTTTTTGATTAGCAATCAATAGATAGAAATCAGCAGACACTACAATCAGATATAAATCGGTTAATACTATAATTATAATTATTAGGTAGAATTATATAAATTGGGTTCTAATCCAATTTTATACTTATTTTAAAAATTTATAACTATATGTTAAATAGTAACAAATTGGATTCAATTAATAATTAGTTATCAATCAGTTTAATACCCGATTGATGATTATTATTCAATTAAAATTTACCGATTGGTTACTATATTAATAAATTTATAAATTGTTTCCAATTTATAAAAATATTCAATTTTACCGATTGTTTCAAATTTATTAATTTATTAATGTAAACCGATAGTTACAAATTTATTTAATAAGATACAATTAAATTACAAATAAAATTGTCTATTAATTGGTATGACTATACATGAAGTCGAAATAGATCATTTCGGATATTCAAAATGGTTGAAATGGTCGAAATCATTTCGATCATTGGAGGCTAAAGTCACGAAATAGTCGAAATGACGTCATATCACATGATTTTTTATATAGAAAAAACAAAAAAAAACAAAAGATGTATGATCTCAGTCAATATCGCTCAGATTCGTATGAAACAACTACCATTCGATTCCTCTTAACTAGACGGATCTAATGAGCTAACATTCATTGATTTTGGATCATCTAATCACGAGATACTCATAATTGTATTATCGGCTGAAATTATTAATCCATAAATTCTACTTTAAATAAAGGAGTCCAGATTTTGAAATACGATCGCAAATATCTCGAGATGGGATGATCCAAAATCAAAAAATCAAAAAAAAAAACTCTCTCCCACAAACGTCCAGTCCATTAAAAAAGATCGACAAAAACAAAAATTATGCCAGTCACTAGAGCAACCTATTCTAAACAACAAATGCAAAATAATTATCAACGAAATAAAAGGAACATTTCAGTTAACAATTCTGAAGCTTTAAGTTCTTCTTCAAATACAAAAGAACCAAACGAAAATAATACTTTACAAAAAAAACAAAAAATTTTAACACCTTCCAACAAAGACACTATCGACCCAGATATTGAAAAAATTATCCTCAACGTTATGTTTAAAAGTAACAACAAAATTCTTTCTGAAAAAATCACTAATAATACAGACAACGTTGTCTCCTCTCCTGAAGTGCCCTCAGAAATGGATGTTGATACCACTTCTAATTTTACTCCTCCTCCACCTATTATTTCAAAGCAAATAACAAATGACTCCATACACGCCAATAACAATAAGGATAACATGTTCGATGACACAGGCTTTAACTATATTTTCCCTATTGATACCAAAGGCAAACAAAAACAAACTTGGTCTGAAGAAATTGAGCAAAATGAAGAAACACATGACCAAGAAAATCAGGGGGCTTCGTTCGATATAATTACTGCTCCTACGCGATTTTTCACAACAGACAACGCGTCAGACATAAAAGGCAAAACTATAGCTAAAAAACACATGTTCATAAATTCTTTATTCGTTTGTTTCAATGGTTACCAAGGATCCACCTACATTTCCAAATTTAGAAAGTTTTCAGTCTATTTTCAATCAATAGAGGAGCTTACATATGCTATTACAAAAGTGCAAGATACACAACATAACCCTATATTTACTATTGCTGACCCTGCAGCAAAAAAGCTCAAACAAGATGCCGAAAAGGAAAGGACCCTTAAAGTTTTGAATATTCTCTTATTTGTCAAATCCGATGTACTCCGTAATTTTTCTCCAAATATGGTGTGATCACCAGATTCTCAATGATAGTTCGTGGCCCCTGGCAAATAGCCTTCATTGTTTTTGAAAACGCTGACATAATCAAACCTTTCTACAATGACCTTTGGTCCATTAAATTTCTTGATACTGCGCTCAGAACTGAACCAACTGATCTCGATCCCATGCAAATCGCTTTGAGACAGCAATTTGAACTAAAACTAACTGGCCTTCCTTTCAATACCGATCAACAACAATTAGGAGATTTTCTCACACACATCAAAGTCAGAACATGCTTTATCCTACGTGACCAACAATACAGACTCCAACCCTATGCATTTATCAATTTTACATCACTTGAAAACCTTGATACTACGGTAGCTAAATCACAGAAATTCAAAGAAAAACACTTTACTGGATGAAACTATTGAATAAACATTGTCGCAGCTGTAGTGCTCCTGACCACAAATTCAAAGACTGTACCAACCGCAAACTAGTAAATCCTTACAGACCAATCTACGACCGTTTCAAACCAGAGCCTTATCATCCCCCACGTAACAATACCTATAATAATTTCAAAGGTGCTACGCCATATATCAATGCCCTTAAAAACACTCCTCCTAATAATGATGAAAAACCACCTACCACAGTTTCCCCTAACCTTATCGATGCGCTAAAAATTGTTCAGGAAAGACTGGACAATATTGAAAATAAGCTCCTCACAATCAATGATAAAATTGTCTCCATAAAAAATGATTTAATTAAACATCAAAAAAATGAAGAGGACATCAGATTTAGACTTAATCATCTCAAATGTATGCATAATGTCGAATATAACGTCAAACATACTCAAGACCCAAATTACGTATTTTCTTCACATGATGAATACTTTATGTTTGAAGACACTACTCTTTCACCAACCCAAGAAAACCAATCACCCATTATTTCTAACGAATCATCTGTCCTTAATACAAATTCCTCATTCAACCTTCAAAGAATTGGTGTCGTCGAATCATCCGTTAATGAAATTAAGAGTAAGATGAGAAATTTAATTGCTACTATCGGCCCAATTATTCAAGCAAGTAATATTTCTCAATGAGTGTACATCTTCAAACAAAAAATTTTAATGGAACGTCCCATACGATTCCTACTAATATTAATAATTCTACAAATGCAAATTTTTTCTCTATCATTAACAATCCCAATTTACTCTCAATTGCCACACACAACGTCCAAAGCTGCGTTCCCTCAAACAGACTTTAACAAATTAAACAATTTTTTATCAGTTTCAACCTCGACGTACTAGATCTCAGTGAAACTCATCTCACATACTTGCAAGCTAGATCTCTTAATAATAATTTGCATGACAAACCTTATAAATTTTTCTTTCACAGCTCTAATCGTTTTCAAAATTGTCAAAGGTTGGACTTTTGATTAGAAATAATCTCTGTTTATACCTCTTCAATCAAGGCTCCTACTTCGATCGTATTCTACATCTAGACTTTCAATTTAAAAACAAATTTAAGTTATGTATTATTCAAGTCTATCTTCCTGCAAGCTATCACGATAAAAAATCCTTTAAACACAAACAAACTAATAGATATCTTAGTTCAAAGTTGAAAAAATAATTTTCACGTCATCCTTATGGGTGACTTCAATATTGACATTTCTAGAAATTACAAGGCTAAATGTAAAAGGATCTTACAAAGATTTCTACATAATATTATCAACCTTGGTTTTCTTCATACAATCTCTCCTTTCACATCCTCCTTTCTCGCTACCTTCACCTCAACTTCTAACTCATTTTCTTCTCATATCGATTATATTTTCATTTCGTCTTTTCTTGCACACGACCTTGTTTCCTTTGATATCTTAAATAATCTCTCTTTCTTTTACTCATCCGATCATCTCCCCCTTCTTATATCGCTATACAAAAACAATTTTTTCAATCAATCATCCAACGCATATTCAAAACAACATAAAATCACCAAGCAGAATTTTCTTTTCAACAAAACTACTTTACTTCAATGGGATTTTTTTGCAGACAAAATGGATCTTCTACTTAAAACCAATCCAAAGTACTGAACTTGTACAGCTCACAATCTTAGTAAATCTCAAAATTCTCTCAATACTGCTTAGGATTTCTTTATTAATACAGTTATTACCTCTGCCAAAAAACATATTCCCAAACAAACCATAACTTCTCGCCATAACTCTTTATTCACCTTTTCCAACTCTTCAATCCACAAACATATTAAAAAATTATCCAAACTCTATTATAAAATTAACAAAT